ACCCTTGAAAACTCACTGGCGCATTCTTCGTTGGCCGCTTCGGGACCTCGGCAGGTCTCAATTCCTATGTCTGCGCGCAAACCGTAAACCCTAAACCCTAAACCCTAAACCCTAAACCCCGACGCAATCCCGTGGCTGGCCAAATATCTCGATCGACGTGGCAGTTGTTGGGGCTAGGGTTTAGGGTTTAGGGTTTAGGGCGTACTACTGATGGTACAGGAGCCTCCATTCTGAGCTTCATAAAGGATCTCCCTCTCGCGCTTGCGACTCCCGAAACAGCTGAGCCACTCAAGCAAAGGTAATTAGGGTTTAGGGTTTAGGGTTTAGGGTTTAGGGTTTGTAGGGTTTTAGTTTGTTAGGGTCCAGCAGAACTAGAGGTTTGTGCGACTGGCAGGTACTATTGCAGCAGCCCTCAGATCTGTGAGCCCTGTGGATGCTGCATCAACATTTTAGGGTTTAGGGTTTAGGGTTTAGGGTTTGCTTACCTGCCGTTACATAGACCCCACTCCATCCAGGACCCAGGGACACAAGGAGTGCCAATTGCTCCTAAGAAATAATCTGTGCCGCCAATTCCTCTAACTACCGATGTTCCTTCTTCGAGGTTTACAACCACAGCTGCAGCAAACACCAAAGCCTAAACCCTAAACCCTAGACCCCAAACCCGAAACCCTAAACCCTCAGCCAGGGAAGCACAAACCCTTCGGGGAGTTCCAGAGGGCCGTCCTCAAAGGATTCGAAAATGCTGTAAACTGAAGTGGGGACGCTGCACCGAGGGTTTATAGGATTAGGGTTTAGGGTTTAGGGTTTACCATACCTTGTTGGCTAGTGGTGCCTAAAACCCCCGAGTAGAGAGTCGCTCCTGCCTTGCCATAGACAAGAACTTCTCCAGAGGTATAAATAAGAACAAAGGAGCCGGATAATTCTATAACAGATACAACGGGACCTGCATAGACACCCCCAAACCCTAAACCCTAAACCCTAAACCCTAGAAATTGCAGGAAGGCAGACTTCCAAAGATGGTGCAACAGAATAAAATGAGAAAAATAAAGAAAGAATGGATACACAAATACATGAATATTATAACAAACAATAAATAAAGAAATAATAATTAAATATAATTTATTTACTATAATATTATTATTAAATAGGTAAATATTATTAAAAATGCAAATGGCAGACAGAAAAGGAAAAAGAGAAAACGGACGAAAGTATCCAATGGAGAATTTGAAGACCCTCAGGTGCAGTAGTGGTGGAGGCCAAACCCTAAACCCTAAACCCTAAACCCTAAACCCTCACGGTCATGAGTAAACTCTAAGGGTATATTTCCTCCGCCTGTTGAACTGTCGCCCCAAACCCCAACTAAATTTTCGCTGCCAACTACTAAAAACGCTGCGGAGTTGGCATGAAGGCCTGCAACACCCAAACCCTAAACCCTAAACCCTAAACCCTCACGCATCATCTCCAACCCGTTCTTTCACCTACCAACTGCAAACGCACATCCCCTGACACCACCCCCAAAACCCACAAACCCTAAACCCTAAACCCTAAACCCTACTTTTGACTCCATTTTTTGCAACAGAGTGTAGACCATTAGGTGGATTAGCTCCTGCCTCGGGATCGCCCCAACCAACCAACTCCCATGTGCCTGGTGCTGCCTCTGTTGCTCCTTTTTTTCTTGCTGCTACTCCTGCTCGTCCATTAAACCGGACGTCTGCATGCATAAACCCTCGTAAACCTTGGAAACAGTAAAAAACCCTAGGGAATCCTAGGGAACCCTAAGGAGATAGGGGAACCCTCGGCTCTCAACCTAAGAGCAGACGCGTAAACCCCCGGGCATCAGGAATCACTTTAAACCCTCAAACACTTAGGTCGAGGTTCTAGGGTTTAGGGTTTAGGGTTTACACTTGACGCCAGACGAAAGTTTCTCCTTAACCTGCTGGAAAGGTACAGACTCCGAAGCAGCAAAACCCTCGTTGCAGAAGGGAGCGGAACTCGTGCTGGTACCCCATACGGCCAACTCCCCTGCAAGCAGACAAACCCTAAACCCTAAACCCTAAACCCTAAAAGGAGCAGTCTGAAGTCACGATGGAGAAGTAGTGGCGCAGAACGAAAGAATGCAGTGTATGCAACGTGAACGTTTCTAACCAAGCTACAAAGAAACTGTGCAGCACGGGAGGTAAACCCTAAACCCTAAACCCTAAACCCTAAACCCTAAACCCTATTTCGTCGTACCTGTACTGGATATGGCAGCAAAACAAGTTCTTTCAGCCCATATTGAGGCCGCCTAAATCCATACACATCCACCACCAGGCCTTATGGCGTTAACCTCAAACCCTAAAAAACCCTAAACCCTCAACCCTAAACCCTAAACCCTCACGTGGAAAGCCGAAGTGTTCAACCGCGAAGGAAGGGTTATTCCTTTTCCCCAGGAGTAAACGGTGCCTCCAGCTGTTCTGGCAGCAAACCCAACGTCGGCAGCGATCTGCGCGCACAAACCCTAAACCCTAAACCCTAAACCCTAAACCCTCAACTGTACAAGAGCTAATGTAGGATCTCGGGGTTTAAAGGACGATTTGCTCTACAACTAATAGCAGCGGCGCACCAGTTCAGTGCAATCGTTGGGCTCAGGTGTCGGCAATTCTCCTCCTGCAGCCAAACAAAACCACATTACCCCAAACCCTAAACCCTAAACCCTAGACCCTAACTTGTCATGAGCCGTTTCGGGGTTCTATGCCAGCGTTTGCTAGCTTAAATCAGAAGAAAGTCCAGGGAAAGTAACAACGGGACCTCTACCCCAACAAACCCCAAACCCTAAACCCTAAACCCCAAACCCTAAACCCTACCAACGGTAGTATCTCCCCAAGCATAAACAGATCCATTTTGCATTAAAACAGCAAACGCGCCAGTCGTTGCTGCGATTGTCTTCACGCGTTGACTACGCGAAGCCTCAAACCTCCCCAGACCATTCTGCAGCACTCAAAACCCTAAACCCTAAACCCTAAACCCTAATCGGTAGACACTAGTGGTAGTGAGGTGCCAGCAGGCAAATAAGACGCGCCGATTCAAATGAAGTTGAAGTTACGGCAGTAGCCTCAAGTCCTAAACCCCAAACCCTAAACCATAAACCCTAAACCCTAAACCCTTACCTTGACTTCAGCTGTCATTTCACCCCCCTGCAGAGCCTCACCCATAGCCAAGACCGTTCCGTCGCTAAAGAGCAGCGCAAACGCTGTCCCTTGAGGGTGGCACGAAATGCCTGCGGTCAGAAACCCCAAACCCTAAACCCTAAACCCTAAACCCTAAAACCCAAATTCTAAGCCCTAAAATCTAAACCCTCCAGGGAAGCTGTCTGTACCTGCCAGCATGACGGAGGCAGGCTTGTCCTGCTGCAGCGCAGTATTCAACTCCGTCAGTCCTGTGCATCCCTTGGATTTGGGGTTACTACAGTAAATCTGCGGGGTATAGGTTGCGTTCCTCGCCTGCACAAAACCCTAAACACTAAACACTAGACCATAAACCCTAAACCCTAAACACACCCTCTTGCACCGTCTCGAGGACGGAAAATGGCCATTGGGTGACCTTATATCCTGCATTTACGAATTAATGGAACTCTGAGTGTTTAGGGTTTAGGGTTTAGGGTTTAGGGTTTAGGGTTTAGGGTTTAGGTTTACTGTCAATCCAACAGAATATACGAAGGTGTCTTTTCCGCCACAAACAAAATCCACTCCCTGAAGGACAGCATATGCAAAGACCACCCTCTAGCTAGCTAGCTAGCTAACTGCTAGCTAGCTAGCCAATGGCTAGCTAGCTAGGGAGCTAGTTGTTTTGTATTACGATAGCTGTGCTGCAGCAGACAACGTCCCTTTTGCATGCAAACGCTCACCAAGGGCAACAAAATAGCAGCAGCAGCAGCAGCAATAGCAGCGATAGCAGCATCCACAACAACGACAACAATGTCAGCAGAATCAGCAGCAACAGGAGAAGCAGCAATAGCAACAGCAACAGCAGCAGCAGCAGCAGCAGCAGCAGGAGTACCTGTGTTATATTGGTTTTATCTTTCTCTGTCCATGTTCCTGTGTCTGCCTTTCCTGAATTTAATAAAGTTGTTGCTTGTGATGATTGTTGAGGAGTAATTAGTATGGCAACAGAACCAGCTGCAGCAACAGCAGCAGCAGCAGCAACAGCAGCAGCACCAGTAGCAGCAGAAGTTAGTAGTATAACGACGCACATCAATTCGTGTTGCTGCTGTTGCTGCTGTTTCTTCTATTGCTGCTATTGCTATTGCTGCATGTCTTTACGTTATTCCTGCTCCTTTTGTGGCTATAGTCGTCACCTTCTCCCTTGCTGCTGCTGCTTTTGCTGCTGCTGCTTCTCGTTTTGCCATTGTACCACCAGCAACAGCACCAACAGCAGCACCAACAGCAGCAACAGCAACAGCAGCAACAGCAACAGCAGCAGCCACAGCAGCAGCACGTACCTGCAGTAAACCATACATTAGTAATATAATTGTTGGGAGAAATCGTCAAATAATTTTTCATCGAATTACTCGAAAATATCTTCCCTTGGACGGATAATGAGGCCCTGCAGCAGCAGCAGCAGCAGCAGCAGCAGCAGCAGATGCAGATGCAGCAGATGCAACAGCAGCAGCAGATGCAGATGCATATGGAGAAGAAGCAACAGCGGATGCAACTAACAAAAACAGCAGCAACAGCAGCAGCAGCACAAGCATCACCATCATCATCAACATCAACATCATTATCAGCAGCAGCACCATCAGCAGCATCAGCAGCAGCAGCAGCAGCAGCAGCAGCAGGAGCAGCAGCATATTTACTGTATATCTTTATCAGCAGAATCAACATGAATAAAGAAATTAGTTGTTGCTTTTATATGTTGAATATAAAAGTTCTCTTCTCCTCCGCTTGCTGCCATCACGGATACTGCTGGTGCTGCTCCTGTCTCTGTATATATATACACAAAATATATATATATATATATATATA